AAGGGGGGGGGGTATAACACTTCCACCCCCGATCTTTATTAGAGAAAAAAGCCCAATTGGGATAGGGTTAAATATTATATAGTTTCAATATTTTAGCTTTCTTAGCCCTAATAAAATCTTTGCTCTGAAATTAAGTTTATTTATATAGGCAGATACATTTCAGGCTTCATCAATTTCAATTCAAGTAAAAAAGTTAATTTTAGTTCCTTTATAAAAAGCTGTTTTTTTTGGGTATGCAACAATTTTCATTAAACACCGTCTAATCTAAAAACTTAATTATCTATGCCAAAACCAACCCTTTACCAAGGAATACCATACAATCGAAAAAAAACATTTGAATCCATAAAATATTTTCTGAGAGTCAATGACACTTCCATTTGTAATCACAAAATGTGTAAAAATGTACCCCTTGTTATATGTATACCTGTGTGAATGTAAGAAAGTTATTTGCATGAAGATAATATCTAAGTGATCTTAACAAGTTGTAAGTAGAGGATATAAGTTTCATGTAACCCAAGAATTTTCAGAATATATTTCTAGTCGTGTATAAGCTCTGTGTTTATTTAGTATTGTCTGCTCTTCACAGTCTAGGATCTAGATAAATAAATATCAGAAGATTTAGACATTTATTGAAATCAGACTGACCAGTAAAGTAGGATTTACAAGCTTGGACTTCCAAGATTTAAAAAATAAAAAATCGAAAATTTTCTTTTTTTCCAAGTTTTAACTCAACATAATGTATCATAACATATTAGATTTAAGGGTATTTTATTATTCTTATTATATTAAAGAAAAATTGTTTGTGAATATTAGGGTGAAAATAGTCTACATCTGCATAGAAAGAAGAACTAAGTAAGAAGAAGTAAACTTCTAAATAAACTTAGAATCCAGCTGGGACCTGGACCTAGAGGTAGGGTTATTAATCATTACCAATCTTAAAAAATTACAAACCATCTACCCTTGATAACAAATCGGCAAACTATAACTATGACAGGCCTTCTTTGTTTTTTAAATTTTAAAATTGATCATTTTTAAAACGATAGTTTTTGATAAAAACCGTTCTGCTTTTCGTTTTTCCTACCTTGTTAACAAAACAATTGGTTCATTTTTCAGAAAAGTGAAAGCGATTCATCCCTAAGTACAGGGAGGGGTGAAGATAGTTCAGCTAGGGTTGGACAGACCTTGGTTCTCTAGAACTATTCTTGTTAGTTAATCAACTGGATCATAGTCTTTTTAACTTGTTAAATAAATAAATAAAAAAAGATCAATTATCAATTTAACGCCCTTATAGAATGTTAGATCTTGTTTAAAAAAAATCTAATATTAAAATATGTTGTTGAATTAAAAAAAATGTTTGTTCAAAGTTTAGTAGTTTGCAAAAGATGAAATATATTTAAATGGGTTTCTGAATTTTCTGAACAATATAATTAGCAAATGGAATAATTTACTGTTTCTAGAATTAAACATTCATCATTTAAATTAATGTGATACATAGAATAAGATCAATAATCTATTTTTAAAATATCCACACTCGCATATAAAATTGTGACTGTGCTTTTTTCCACAAGCAGGAGGTTTATTAATTCTACAATACAGTTTAATTATCTTTTTACAGTCAACATTTTAATGTTTTTGGCAGCTGGATACAATGCAATAAAAAGTTACTAGAATAGACTTTACATATCCTTTTTGAATTGATTTAGACTGTTTTTACCCCTCCCCCCCATTCCAGTCAAATATAAACACACATAAACTAACTATGTGTGCAATTTAACCCTTAAAAACAAAAACATTAATGTTATTGAAACTTTCTAGAAAGATTTGTTTCTCTAAAATAAATAATTTATATCTGTTTTACTCCAAAAAACTTTAAAAAGCTTCATTCTTAAATTCAGCATAACATTTTATTTTTTTCTGTGAAAATTACATGATAATATATCAAAACTGCTTAAACCTCCAGGGGATATAAAATATTGTTGCTCAATGGGATCCAGATAGAAGCAAAATATAAAATATTTCTGATCAATATTTCTTGTTGTTGTCAGTAGATATTGAATAAACTGCAATTGTATGCAATGCAGATAAAGTGAAACCTTTAAAGTTTACTTCTTTACAAAGCAGGGGTGTATATTGACAGGAAATTTTCTAGAAACATTATTATTCCTATCCCTATATGTATATGTGTAGTAATTAGTTAAAATTACCAAAAAGACATAAAATATTTTTTATTGGCATTTTGAGAACTAGTGAAATTAAAAATGTTAAAAAAAATTACCAATGCAAAAAAAGAAAATGTGGTTTCTGATTTCTGATATGCTAAGCTAACTAAATTTCTTAAAAGACTTATTTTTCCAGTAAAAATGTACAATGCAATAGATCTGTTGTTGTGTGTATCTATTGTAGGATATTCTAACATGTATTGCATTGTAAATATTAGGTTCTAAAATATCGGATATTGGAAGAAGGAAGGAAGGAAGGAAGGAAGGAAGATTTTTCAATGCAGCTCTGTCCATTCTAGACAATATATGATAACAAAGGGAGAGATACTTTCTGACTAAACCACTAGTAAGAAATAGAATAAAGTATTATAAGCATATAAAATGCTTTCAGAAGGGTTTCACCTTACAAGCCACTAATACCCAAATCATTTCCCTAAAATGTAGAACTCATTCACACCTTTAATTTATATAATGTAAAAATGACTTTCTGTATATATATATTGAAATAAAATATGCAAAGCTAGAAGAATTTTCCTTATAAATTGTGCCTCTATGTAAATGATGTAAAATCAACCATGGGGAAAACTTTATTTATCGTTCTAATACGAGAGAGGGGGGAAATAATTTATTAATCTTATTTCTTTGCATAGCCGAAATCATTAGTAAAAAATTATTTTGATTTTCTTCCACAGTAATTAAGAATGAATTTTAAATTTTTATGCAGATATTTTAGGAGTTAAGTTCTTTAAATTCAAATCATGTTATTCTAGACCCAGCTAGTAGGTCAAATAGACTGTAAAGTGTGAACAGAACTTTGAAAAGAGCACCATCAAAGATTCACAACAGTACAAGATACAAGATAAACAAATAAACGAAGTCTTCGAAACTCAAATAATAATTTTAGTTTGAATCATTTATAAAACTCTTAAATTTAGGGGTATTTAAATATTCAATTTTAACTTGTTTTTGTTTTATTTCTCAAGTATGGAAATAAGGATATATTTTGCAAGCTTAAAGATTACTAAGATGAAGTCCTTTAACCCGTTATTTAAATTTTATGAATATTTACTCCATCAAAGCTTTAAAAGTTACATTTCACAAACTCTTAACTTAATGAAATGTTAATACAGAGCCCAAAACTTAAGACAGGGTATCGTTATTAAAACCAGTTCTAAAACCCGGGTTTTATGAACGGGGTTAGGGAGTTTTGTGAAAATAAATATTTTGTTATGAAATATTATATAATTCAGTTTGTTTATAGTCTCCATTTTTTCGAATCTCTTAAAACAAAATCTACACAAGCGTTAAGACCCCAAAAAGGAAACTTAGGAGTTTCATTCAACGATACTCTTTTAAATTTCAGGCTCAGGGCATTTCAAGAGTACAATGTTTTAAATACACATTATTTTAAAAACACATTACTTACAATACAACATACAATATCTACAGAGCAGTTATAGGTACAATCTACAGTGCGAAAGTACAGATCAGTTTTTTTAAAGTATTTTTTAAGTAGGAAAATTTTCCACGGAATTAAGTACATTGTACTAAGTACATTTTACTAAGTACTAAGCATTTATTGAGTACAATACTAAATATATGCATAACATACAGAATACTTGAATTTTAATATTTACCCCATTTTTGTCGTAACAAAAACAAGAATGATTTTTTTGTATATAAATCAAATAATATGATATCAACTAATAAATATTCAACAGTTAGATGGACCGCTGGACAAACATTTTGTTTTTGTTTTACTATAGAAAGGTTATTATTAAGTGAACTATAGTGAAAACGACACTATTTGTATAATTTATGTGATTGATTGAAGAAATATTGATATATCTATTCCAGTAATGAAACATTATATTAAGAGTTCTTTATAATTTTGATTTCAAAGTGTCACATGTATTTATATGTATACTTCTCTTGTCAGTCTATTTGTAATTATATCCAATAAATGAATGATCAAAATATCAAAAATTTGCTAAGAACAAAATTAGATTTTCATTTATTTTTGTAAATTTTGACAATCCACAAAATTATGTTATGAAATGCGCGAACTTTTTTGTTTTGTTTTACAATGTACACAAAGAGAACATGTTTACAATTGAAAAAGAAGATGAGTGCGAAGCGCCCTTAAAGCCTATTATTATATATGTGGCTAGTATGTCTGATAGTGTGTATTCTTTACAAGTTTACACGTCCAAATGACTGAATCTTTTCGGCCCAACTTACCAATGGCCAAGGTACGGTTTATGGTTTAAGAAAAGGGGCATTAAGTGCTCCGGAATCCTGATTAATTATAGACTCTGGGAAAATGCCTGTATAGACAGACAAGTTGCTAGCTCTAAATTTAATAACAGTAATGCTCACAAGTTTCTCAAGGGAGCTGTAACACTTTCCAGACATATTATTATACCTTTTATTTAATCAGATATCTATAATACATGGAAAAGTATGTAAAAAAGAAGGTACATCATGAACCCGACCCTGTATCTCTGTATAAAATAAACGTACTGCTATTTCTGGGAGGAATATAAACAATCTCTTCATAATAAAGCTCTTAGCTCATATACTTATATAAAATATATATATAATATGTATAAGTATGTATACACCAAGGAATACCATGACTGGGTAGACAATATGGAAGTAATCTAATTAGAAAAATTACACTAAACAGGACAAACATTAAGAAATATATACACTTGTTATTTAGTTTGGGAGGAATGTAAACAGTGTAAATATTTCTTGAACACAAAACATAAATCTTACCTCGTCACCAGATTCTTCAGATTTATCAAACTCCTGGAAAAAAATTACGGTTAAAGCGTAATGTTAAGTGATCTTGCATTTATAGAGTGCCATGTCCTTTAAAGATAATTGTCCAGACAAAGGATTAAAGGGTACTATTCTGAATCGGACAAGTTTTTAGCATAACGCCTGTTTATGAAGACCTACTAACTAGGGGAATCTATATATATATACTTTGCTTTGATTATTTGATTATTTTTGTGTAACCGATAAACGTCAAAACGGCTGAACCTATCGGGCCCAATTTTTTTTATCCTAGGAAAGGTTTATGGGTGGTTAGAATTAAAACAATTTACCTTAAGAAATTTCGATTTTTCAAAATCCACGGAATAAACGATAACTATGCATTATTTGATTTTTAACCAACGTTTCTAAAAAGTCATAAAAAAGCTTTACTCATTTATTTATTTGAGTAATTTCGCATTCTATTCTACGTATTCCACGTAATCAATTAATTTAATCAGTTCGACGTATTCTACTTACATCCATATCAATGTTTACAACTCCAGTTGATCGTCTCTTCGGTTTCTTCTTCCTCGCCTTGGCCTGTAGGGTCGGAGTATCAGGGCAACCCCCGTCACTATCTATAGTAATTCATGACATTGATTCGAAATTAAAGATCAGAGTTACAGTGGGACTCATGAAACTATGGAGTAGGAAGCCGACAATGGAGTAGGAAGACGACAATTAAGCAATCTAATGTGTGTTTTTTAAGCAAATAATTTACCAGTGGTTTGAAAAATCAACTTATAAGTAAAATGGTGTTTTTCATATCCATTGAACAATTTAAAAATCTTAACAGTCTTTTTTTTCCACAGTTTACTGGGTCCACTGTACCAATGATACTTAATTTTAAATTTTTCAATTTAGAAGCAAATATTTGGGACTCTAAAAATAAGATTATCAACTTGAAAGCATGTTAACTGCACTTTGACACCAGCACAATTTCCCACTTAGTATGCGGAGACTTTGTTGCGACCTGAAAGTTTAAAAATCTGGCGGGCTAAATGGTAAATATGGTCTAATGCCTAGAAGGTCTATTTCATGATTGAGTTAAGGGGAACCCAAGAATGTAAGGCAAGGAAAGTTTATTGCGGTCGTGTATACTCTGCGTACATATTGAAACCAGTTCTCTTTGGGCGGAATTTGTAAACAAGAATAGATGCATCAGTGTTCGCTTAGCAACCGAGGATTTTAAAAGCATTAAATTTTGAAAATTTTGATAATTCACATTATAGTTTCCTATGACCAGAATATTTCATCGATTTTTTATGTGAAAGATGGTTCCCATGTCAGGCTTTGATATCCGTCTTGTGTTTACATTACAGCCCCGAGACAGTACACTGCAGTACAAAAGATGTGTACACTTCTGAAATAACTTTACTTGCCTTACAATCCTTGAGGGGGACCAATAATAAGAAATATGACGAGATAAGTTCTATTCAGTCGTATCTGAAGTCAAATCCTCTATGGGTTTCAGTTTCCCACAAAAAATCATTTAAGAAAAGAAAATCAAGGGAATTTTTTGTTTTACCTGGCGGTGGCTGCAGTGTGCTAGTGTAGGTCGAGGAGAACGGACGTGAAATTCTTCTCTCAGGGCTCTGTGTACTGAGACGATCCTGGCGGCTGTACGCGGAACTAGTAGTTCGGGTTTCACCACCAGAGGCCCGACTATCCTCTAGCGTAAACTGAAGGGAAAGCAAGGGTAGGGTTAACAGTAACACAAGGGAGTGCACAACATTTATTTAATTGCTTTCATAAGCGCAACTAGGAAGAACAAAATTGTGATTAGTTCCACCCCCACGAAATCATCTAGTTGCACCTATGAATGCATTAGTTTAGTGTGTATTTATTATTGACGTGTTTAAAACATTCTTGCTAAAACCAAGGATTTCCTGGTATATTGTCCAATGTCCAGGAATATTAAAATATAATCTAGTTTTGCAAACCTAAAGCTTTATGAATATTTGATTTAATTATTTTTAATGAGGCTTAACCATAAAACCATTTAACTGGTATGTTATTTTAAACATTTAAATTCATTAAAAATAAAAATAAACATTAAAAAAAAGGTTTTACAAAAACATTCTTCTGAGTCTTTTAAGAGAATAGAATGCAAAACATTTATAACAAAAAGCAAAAACAAATAAATTTACTTCCAAATTGTCTACAAAATGCACAGAATTCATTTAATTTTAACAAAGAATATGGAGACAATGGAAAAAATACAATATTTTCATAACTTTGACGACACTTTTACTGTTCGATTGACCAGTTAATTTCATTGTTATTTAGATGAAGGTGTGAATTGTTAATGGCATTGATTTATACTATGAACCCCTTTATCAGGAATATTGTCAAAATAAAGAATATAAAACTTGAATATTATAATCTAACCTGTACCTAAAACCTTATCTATATGCGGAGAACGATTAATAAAGAAAAAATGAACAGTATTTATATATATCGTTATACAAATATAAGGTTCATTTCTTTGATTCATTACTTACTGCAACCCTACAGTAGTATTTCTAACAAAGAAACTAAAAAGCTTTTCTTTTAAAGTTACGTTTGTATGCAAGCATGCATTTTTCATCAATCATTACTGTGTGTTTTAAGAAAATATTTAACCGGTACAGTACTACAGTAATGTACAGAACAGAGAAGAGTGTCGAACTGTACAGTATTTTGCAGTAAAATAATACATTTGTTTGCAGTACAAAATATTGTCCAAATAAAGAATATAAAACTTGAATATTATATTCTAACCTGTGCCTAAAACCTTATCTATATATGCGGAGAACGATTAATCAAGGAAAATTGAACAGTTCTCATATGTATATGTATGTATGTATATATATATATATATTATTTATGAATATAAGGTTCATTTCTTTGATTTATTACTTACAGCAACCCTACAGTAGTATTTCTAACAAAGAAACTAAAAAGCTTTTCTTTTAAAGTTCGTTTGTATGCAAACATGCATTTTTCATCAATCATTACTGTTTATTTCAGTAAAATATTTTACCGGTACAGTACTACAGTAATGTACAGAACAGAGAAGAGTGTCGGAAAGTACAGTATTTTGCAAAAAATAATACATTTGTTTGCAGTACATTGCAGTACAGTTTATCAGTATAGAAAAGTACAGTACAGTACAGTACAGTACAGTACATAATATTTAGTCCTAGATCCTTACCCTACTCTTCTCCCCGGCATCCATTCTTAAACGCCATGATGGTCTCCTCTCAGCAATCTTAAAATAAAACAAATAAAAATAAAAAACAATCATTTTGAACTCTGGCAATAAGAAAAACAAAAACAATATAAAAAAAAACAATGACGATGCCAATAACAAAGAAAAAAACAATTAAAATGACATTGACAATGACATTGACAATGCCAATGACATTAAAAATGCCAATGAAATTATAAATGACAATGCCAATGACATTGACAATGCCANGCCATTGACAATGCCAATGACATTGAAAATGCCAATGACATTGAAAATGCCAATGACATTGACAATGCCAATGCCATTGACAATGCCAATGACATAGCCTATGACATTGACAATGCCAATGACATTGACAAAGCCAATGACAATGGCAATGACATTGACATTGACGGTGCCAATGACATTGACGATGCAAATAACATTGACAATGTCAATGACATCTGCCAAAAGTAATGAGCACAAGTTTAAGAACCTGAACAGGAAGATAATATAATTAATTATTGTTGTCCCTCTCTAATACCCCCGCCCCCTTTCCTCCCTATTCATGTTGCTTTCTTCCCGATTGCATTTATAATTAGTATTCTTGCCAGAAACTTTCTTAGTTTGAATCTTAAAGCAGTTGAAAATTAATCTCAAAGTTAATTCTAATTTAAAATAAAGTATATTTCAATTTTTATTTAATCAGAACTTTTATAATGTTTTTTTTTTTTATTAAATAAATGATATTAAAATCAAGTTTGAGTTTTGAATGCTGCAGGCTGTCCGTGTAAACATTTTCTTTACCTTCTCCGTATCTGTGATAGTAAGTGCAGTTGATGTAGTGACAGTAGTAGTAGCAGTAGACCCTGGGGGTTCAACTAAACTCTATAATATATAAAATATAGGAGTTGTTCATGGTTTATATAGTAGTAGTAGTAGACCCAGGGGGTTCAACTAAACTATATAATATATAAAATATAGGAGTTGTTCATGGTTTATATAGTAGTAGTAGTAGACCCAGGGGGTTCAACTAAACTCTATAATATATAAAATATAGGAGTTGTTCATGGTTTATATAGTAGTAGTAGACCCAGGGGGTTCAACTAAACTCTATAATATATACAATAAAGAGATTGTTCATGGTTTATATAGTAGTAGCAGTAGACCCAGGGGGTTCAACTAAACTCTATAATATATACAATATAGGAGTTGTTCATGGTTTATATAGTAAAAGCAGTAGACCCAGGGGGTTCAACTAAACTCTATAATATGTTAATCTAAGGGACCTGTTCACTAGTGACTAGCTGCTGCAGCTCTGTTGTTCGCTGCTGATTCTCCTGTTGCTGCTTTTTCTTCACCAGCTGCTCAGCAGACTTCAAATCCTCAAGGGTTACTCCCTATTCAAAGTTCAAAATTATCATCTTTTTTGTCTTAAAAAATATTAAGGAGTTATTTGAAAAACTGTCGCCCCGAATGATTTTTGATGATCTTGGAAGAAAAAATGAAAAATTGAACATCCACGGGCAAGGTTTTTCATCCTTTTTCATACTTTTTACCTAAATATACACCCTGGAAAATATTATTGCAGGCTCCAATCCATAAACTTTAGCATGTTTATTCTTGTGGGTACCCTAACAGCTTCAGGGATATGTATTTTCAAGATTGGAATTTTACTGATCTCTGGGAAAAATTTAAAGCTGTCTGCCTTTCTTTCTGTGTGACCAATTGTAACCCGTTAACCGATTTGCCTCAAATTTTGATTGGGTATCTCTTCATAACCACAAAAATGTCCTTAACTTGGTGTAAAAAATTATTTCGGTCTCCCGACAAAGCTGTGTTTACAAGTTAGAATTTACAGTTTGGGAAGTCTGCTAATATGGCTCAAGAAATTCATTTATATCACTTCTACATTATATCTATACTGATTCTCCTGTTGCTGCTTTTTCTTCACCAGCTGCTCAGCAGACTTCAAATCCTCAAGGGTTACTCCCTGTTTAAAGTTCAAAATTATCATCTTTTTCGTCTTAAAAAATATTAAGAAGTGTATTATTTGAAGAATTGTCGCCCCCCCCCCCCTCCTGGGGTGCCGAACGATTGTTGATAATCTTGGAAGAAAAAATTAAAAATTGAACATCCACGGGCAAGTTTTTTCATCCTTTTTCATCCTTTTTCATCCTTTTTCATACTTTTTACCCAAATATACACCCTTGAAAATATTATTGCAGGCTTCAATCCATAAACTTTATCATGTTCAATGTTCATTCTTGTGGGTAGCCTAATAGCTTCAGGGAAATGTATTTTTTAAGATTTAAATTTCACTAATCTCTGGGGAAAAAATTAAAGCAAGTTTATTAACTTCACATCTGTCTCTGTATGTTTTTCTTTCTGTGTGACCAATTGTAACCCGTTAACCGATTTGCCTCAAATTTTGATTGGCTATCTCTTCATAACCACAAAAATGTCCTTAACTTGGTGTAAAAAATTATTTCGGTCTCCCGACAAAGCTGTGTTTACAAGTTAGAATTTACAGTTTGGGAAGTCAGCTAATATGGCTCAAGAAATTCATTTATATCACTTCTACATTATATCTATTTCTGTCCGTTATACATTGCGTTGACAAACACTGTAAACATAATTCATTCAATTTAGGATAAATAACCTGAGTTGACCGTCGTGTCTCTCTAACACGCTTGGCATGCGCCTTTCTCTGAATTTCATGCTCTTCATCGCGAACAGGAGGCACAAAGGACCTAAACAGAGGAAGAACATTAGGAAAAAGGGAAGATATCCTCCATCCGTCTCTAAAACAAATCGAGGTCAATTTGTGCAACATTAAACTCCCAGGATTATGTTTTGCACAAAGTTTTGCAAAGTTTAAAATTAAACAAGTTAGAAAATAAAAGGTATTAAATAAAGAACAAATACAAAATATTTAAAAAAAATAAAAAGACGCATATAACTCTACAATCTACATAACACAAAACTATGTCGCATTTTTTTTTGTATAAAGGGGCTGTATGCGTAATTTAAAGTGAGGCCCTCAATGCAAAGATGGCAGCCGATTCCTAACGGTAACCTTGCAAAATTTATCTGATCAAATATTTATTAGATATCAACGTTTAAACTTTTAAACAGTGATTAGTTTCAATTGGAGTTTCTCTACAGATGTAACTTGCGTATTTTTAAAGAATAATCCAAATTTAACACTATCTAAACCTAGAAAAACGAAAATATCTTGCACATTATTGATCAGATAAAGGTTTCAAGGGTACCGTTGTGAATCGAGCATGACCATCTTATCATTGAGGTTCACAAAAACTTACGTTTGCAGTCCCTTTAAGCAGGAAAGCAGATATTTATAAATTTAAAGAAAACACTCTGTCAAAACTAGTGATTGGGATCCATTCCATTTTGAAGGAGATCCGTTGTACTTACCAAATCTTTAATTTAAGAAATTTTTGTTGCTAATAAAGGATCAGAGCTGGGAACTTTAGAATGGGATATCCTTAATCCCGATCGGTTAATGTATCTGGATATTTTTAACAATATGAGAACAAGCTTTATTTAATCTGGAGATTAAGAAACAGATGAGATCAAGCATTAGTCCCGATATCCACCATTCAACAGTTCACACCTCAAGAGTTATGAACATAATCTCATTTATCACTGGAGATTGTGGTTCAATAGCAAACATTTCAGTTTATTAAATTTTGGTTTATATTTCGATCTGGTTCTTTGAGACATTGTCATTGTAATTTCAAGTAACCACCGATTTGACCAACTCACACAGGTACCCTTGACACCTTTATCTAATCAATAATGTGGCAGAAATCGTTGCTTTTCTTGAACAGTGTTAAGTGTTAATTATTGAAATAAACCCCCTTTTTGCTAGGGACACCAATTTGAAAATAATAAAATTTCAAAAAGAGAGACATGAATAACTTGTACAATCTTGATCAGAAAAGCTTGTAAGGGTATTGTAAGGGTATCGTTGTTAATCGGATATGCCATTTTATGAATACAGAGTCAATTAAAATTTCAAAGAACCAATATAAGATATCTGATATAGGACCCTGTTACCAAACTTTTGCAGAAGTATTATATATAATTTCCTGAGCTGAAAACTTTAGAAAGTGGATATCGAGACCAATGATTGATCTTCTCTTTTAGTTAAGCTGCAGATAATTTAAATCTTTAATTTGTATACAGGAAACTGTCTACAATTCAACCAATCAGAGTGCCGTAAGCAGAATCCTGAAGCCTATTAGAAGCCAGAAAATTCAAAAATTTTCGCACAACTAAATTTGAGAACTCTCATTGGTCGGAATCCGGTAGGGATATTCAAAAAGAGGGGAAAGAGCGGATTAAGAAGAAATCAAATGCAGATATTCAGATTAAGCGAATTAATTATAATTCTAAAGTTTTCTGCCCTAGAAACATTTCAGAACAATGTTATCACTCGATTCATCCAATATGGCGGAAAGTTAAATTTACTGGTTTCATGTTCAGCTTAATCATACACGCGGCATGCAACCCTAGGATAATAAAACATAACCTAGGATACATGAATCATATTTTCTTTGCCTAGAAAATTTTATTGGATTTTATTTAACACCAAAAAAGGATGTGGACGGCATAACCTGGATATCATTTTTAGAACCTGTTCAGGAACTTCAAACGCATCATCAGTTTTTTGGGCATACTTTTGATTTGATTTTTAAATTTTTGTGTGTGTTTTTACAAAATTTTGCGTTGTCCTAACATAACTTAAAATATCCTTTTAAAAGTTTTGCTATTTTTATATGATGTAAAATGATACTATTGGCCTGAACAATGCATGAACTATCATTCTTTAACAAAATTTTTGGAAAAACGATCATATTTACATCTACTGTCACAGTTTACATTTTCCTTAACAGAATAACAGCAAATACAAGTGCATTCAATTTAAAATATGCCAAGAGTTTACAGATTTTTATGAATCCTCTTTAAGCCAAGAAACCACAGGGCTTAAATTTTGAATTGGATTTTGCTTATCTTTAGCGACTGAACCCCATTTAAATGGCAAAAACTTATAAATGAGGGGCTTAATCCCTGAAATCCAAGAAAGTTTTACGTCCATACCACCACTGAAAGACGTGTGAAGGTGTCCAACGTCCATGGTTGAACCTTGGATGGATATTTTTAACAAACTAATATAAATGATTCTTAAAGATTATATCTGGGAAAAAAAAATCAAATAAGACTTTAAGAAGGCAACTTTTATCATCCTTTTTGGTAATTTGAACCCAAAATTTTATTTCTTTTCCCCCAAAAATCAATTCACCCAATTCAGCAAAAAAGTTATTTTTTTATTACCAAAGTTTTGGGTTAAAGGAATTGACTATCAAAAAAGGAAATCATTTTTTCAAGAAATATACACCCCTGGGGTTGTACTGTCGAAGGGCTGGTGAAGGCATATTTTTAGATATAAAGGTTTCATCCTCATCAATGAAACGATTAAATAGGAAATTCAACATTCTACCCTGCAGAACTTAAAACCATATTCTGTTGAATAAAATATTCAGTGTGCACAGTGCAGGGAAGAATAATATATATTTATATATATTTTCAGAATTGTACTCCAGGGAAATAGTTGTATTAAATATAGAGATATGATATATGATCTAGACCCCAGAATTATTTACTTCAACGCCAAAACAGAGTTTATTTCACTTCTGCTAATTTTTTTGGAACAAGATTATCAAAAGACAAAGGGTTAAAAATAAATCTAAAATGGAAAAAAGAAAAACAGACAGAGAAAATAGATCAAATGTTTATTAAAATTTGTTAAGAGATAATTCTGTCTGTTTCTCTGTTTGAATGTTCATATCCAAGAATTGCCAAACTTTCTAAACCGGATCAGACACAATTTCTTTTTTGTGACTCACTAGACCTGGTAAATGAGAGGTCAAAATTTGAAAAAATCAAATAATTAAGAAATTATGGAAATTCATAGGACTATCCACAAAATAGTTTCTTTTTCCCTTTCAATATCCGCAACTTTTCCTGCAAATAATACCAGAATGGCAAAAGAAGAAAAAGTAAGAAATTAATGGTTTCTTCAAGTTTTCCAAACAAAAACATGTGCACAGGTTCTATTTAGACGAAAAACACAAGGAAAGGTGTTTCAGAACATAAACTAACTTTTCCATCCAGGGCTGTTGGCCCACAGAGCTTGGTTGCTTGTGATTAAAAACCTCCATTTTGAAAGGGCTGAAATATGTTTATCAATAAGATTTAAAAATACCGAAAAAGAAGATAAAAAGGCATGCTTTTGGATCTAAACTTTAAACAAAGGGAAGCACGAAAACGAGATCATTGAGCTTTGAAGATTTTAAACTAGTCCAACAAAGAAACCAAAATATTCCTAATAAAAAATATCATTTAAAGTGGATGGATACCCCAAAAATCATTGAAATTAGCTCTTTAAAAAGGTTTCATAACTATGTTCATTCATTTCCCAATTTCCTTCAATTTGATTAATTTTCATATTTGTATCTTTTTTCGAAATATTTAACTTTTTCTAATTTTCTAATAATGCAATCTCAGATTTCATCCACTTAAAATACAATCTGGGTTCGAGTAGAACTTTAGGGTGTACCAAATTAATTTACAACATTAAAACTTTTCTGAGATTTTTAAATGTGTGAAAACTTTTTTTCATTGCATTTACATTTTGAGAAAAAAAATTTATTAAGTTTTGCGTAATTTACGGGACTCCCTGTAGTTTATAAGGATATATTTGAGAATTTAGAGTATTTGAGATTCTCCTAGTTTCATCCCATTAACATTTCCAGTATGGTACAATAGGGTAGGGTACAGTAGGGTACAGTAAGGTAGCAATAGGGTACAATAGGGTACAATAGGGTACAATAGGGTACAATAGGGTACAATAGGGTACAGTAGGGTACAGTAGGGTACAGTAGGGTACAGTAGGGTACAGTAGGGTACAGTAGGGTACAATAGGGTACAGTAAGGTAGTAGGGTAGGGTACAGTAGCGTACAATGGGGTACAGTAAGGTAGTAGGGTACAGTAAGGTAGTAGGGTAGGGTACAGTAGGGTACAATAGGGTACAGTAGGGTACAATAGGGTACAGTAGGGTAAAGGTAAAATGCTTACGATACATCCATATACTTAAGCATCATTTTCAAATCTTGAATTAGCTTATCCGAGAATTTTATTCAAAAACCTTCATGAAAAAGTAAAATATCAAATTTTTAGACATTTAGAGGCAATTTAAAAAAAAAAATTATTTCGCTGAAATCTTATTACCCAGCAAACAATTTAACAAGTCATTAAAAAAAAACACTATCAAAATTAGAATTATTTTCGAGGACTCGTCCCTAAAGGAGAAACAAAGTTTGTATTATCATTTTTATTTTGATAATGGGGCTCCCCTGTTTAAATTTGGATAGAAAAACAACTTCAAATCAATGTTTGAAAAACAATGGTCTCTAACTACGAATAAACCAACTCATTGCACCCTAATCTTCAGTCTGAATTTTTATTGTCCAGGGAAATGGAATTCCCTGGAAGCCCAACTATAAAACTGGAGAACACAAAAGGCATTGTCTCACAAATTATCTTGTATCATCAATCTCCATATTAGAGAAGAACACAGAACTACTGTTAAATAATGCAAAAATCGCATGCAACAAAATGAACAAAAACTACCTAAAAAAAACACAGGAAAGGGTTAAATGCCACTCACAGAGGTATATGTTTTGAAGAATATCCCCCCTCCCTAGAGAGAAGATTTGAAAAAAAAGTTAAATACATCAACATGCAAAATTCCCAATTTTGGAATTTTTGTATAAATTTTTTTATTTTATTTTCCCCAATAAGATTAAAAATGATTTTTGAAGAGGGGAGGGGGGATGATTTTTCGTGATTTTATATACCCCTGTCAACTCAGGCTACCCACTTGAAGAATGTTTTGAACATATTTGTAATGGATCCCTCAGTCCCTGGCGGGGAGAGGACTCCTGGGGAGATGGACATTGAGGTCATGGAAGAACTGGAAGGGGAGGTCAGGGACTCAGAGGGGGACAGCATGGAGCTGTCAGACGACAACCTGTATGACAGTTGATGACTACTGGTTTATAAAATCACCTTTATTCTATTATAGGTATCAAAGTTCTCCCATCAATGATTAAGTTATTAAAAGGACTGTCAATGTTATTTTTCAATTCAATACCATTCCGCTTTTCAATAATACCCTTTAAACCTTCAGCTAAGAAACATGTAGTGGAGAAATTGAAAATTTTCAGTTGCAGGTCCTCTATAAAATTGACTTACAGGTTTACACAGCTGAAACAAGGAAGGCAATGTTCAGTATTTGGTTCCTTTCAAAGAGAGTAAAAGACGATATCTTCCTTGTTGCTACTCAAATAAAGGTTCAAAGGGTGTCACTGTGAACCATAGGTTCTTTAATTTGAGTGTTAAGAAGTTAAATTGACATTTCCTTGAAGACATCAAATAAACATATTTTCCAAAGAAAAATAACAGTAATGCAATTAACGTTAACATAATTGATTATTCTTAATATAGAAATTCCACTTTTAAGAACTTTTCGCAAGTTTTATTGATTTTATAAAAAATTTCAAGAAGAGTTCAAAACATGTATTTTATGACAAAAATACCCTGGAAAAACACTTAAAAAGTGACAAGCAACAAAGACAATTTTCTACATAATTTAATAATCACATTTATTATATATCTTAAATATATTTGACTAAAATATAAATAAAAATGTGACTCACCTTCTCACGGTTCCGGACAAGTTTTTATCAGTTTTCCCTCTAAATGATAAATCTGGGCTCTGTTTGCTGATAGTATCGTCGGCCACACGGCGTCTTAACAGATAGTTTAATTAGTTAAAATTAATTTTTTTTTACAATTATTTTGCTGTTTATGACGAGAGTTTTAACAATTTATCAATATTGCATTTTTATAGACTAATGTCTTAAAAAAAGGGGGGGAAGTAATGAAAAGGTGTGAATATTTTCCTAAATTAAAATTTTTAAAAAAAACTTAAGGTAGAAAATGGATTTTAAGGAAATAATCAAAAATACTTGCAAGTTAAAAATATGACATATATTAAGGGGTTGGGGGACAATAGAAAAAGAGTTGGAGAAAATGGAATTAGTGAATGGAAAAGGGGGAAGATGGAATGAAAAAAGGAGAAAAATACAGGGAATTGACGAAATATCTTTAAAAACTGAGCAATTTTGGCAATGTTCATCTTTTTTTTTGAGAGCTCAGGCGTTAAATAAAAAATGACCAGAAGATTTCGGAATAGATGAAATGAAAAAACACCTCCAGAAAAATGTCAAAAAAAGTGCTTAGAATCCATTTCATTTATTGAGGATTAAAAACGGGAAATTTACAGGTCATAAACAGGTCATAAGCAGTTTATAAGCAGGTTATAAGCAGATTATAAGCAGGTCATATGCAGGTCCTAAGCAGGGGCGAAAGAAAACAATTACTTGAATTTTTACAAGTTAAGAACATTCCAGGATTTTATTTAAAAAAATTGCGCAGGTAACATTATACATTTCACAAAGAAAAAATAATCTCTACCCCCCTTCAAGGAGCAAAAAATGTTGCGAATTCTATAAAACACTGCTTGTAAAATAATAATCATTTTTCTCTTTCGTTACAAGGAAATTGACTTTTTTGGTCCAGTTTTTAGACAAGTCGAATGTTTTAAAGCTAATCTTCATTTTTCTAGTGCTCTTTTATATTTGGTATAATATCTGTACAATAAAATAAATAAACAAACAGTTGTTAGAAAACAAAGAAACAGACACATAGGTTAATATATTTACACAATATCTAGTTTCTTACTTTCACTATCTTACAGGATAGGAAAACATTTTTATATTATTACTCATACAAGTTAAATATCAGGAATTAAAGACATATTTAAAAAAAATATATTAGAGTTTTGGGGGGGTTGTGCGAGGGGAAGGACTGGTTGTAATTTCTCAATTAAATAATTTGGCTGTAAGTCTGTATATTTATTAGTGTTGATTAGCATTAATTAATAATGCTATTTATAAGATTGCTACATGCAAGGCATTAAAGATATTTGTTAACACTTTACAGATAAAATGACTTAAAGACATAGAGAATAGAAAATATATAGAGAGGAATTAAAAGAATCTCTCGTATGAATTTTTTCAGTCCCTTTCAGCCTGAAAGGGAGTTCAAAGTGTACAAATCGTGTAAATGTTCACAAATTATATGCAGTAGAGTACATTAATACAGTACGTTCCCTAGACTATCCATTTCAATTTCGAATTTTTTAAACTGTTAAATAAACTTTATAATGATTAGGTGAATAAAAACATCATTTGATTTATAGTTATAACGGAAAATCATCGTTTGTAAAGTGGAAGGCATAGAGTCTATGTGAAATGATCATTGGTCAATTATGAAACCAGCCTATTTTCATAATTTGGTTTTCTTTTAACAATAATTTTAGATTTTCTATAAAATGATATTCCAGGGCCCAACAGGTTATATAGCATAAATATGTGAAGTACACCTGCAGTATGAAAACAGTAAAACAAAATGGCCGTTTTACACTTTTTTCCATTAAATTCCTCTCTATATATTCTATTCTCTATGCTTAAAGAAGGTTGATTTCTCGGGTTTATTTTCATACATCAATCTTTAACTGTGAAGCTGAATAATGAAAAAAAAATATTAAGTTCTGTTTCCTATATTTAAAGCCTTGGTTGAATTAGTCCTTACTGCTAAGGTTGAAAATATCCGTCATTTTTAAAGGAACTGATATGGAAACCCAGATATTTACAAGAAGTTCAAAGCAGACATAAAAAATCAGGATGGGGGGTTTGAGGAATAAAAAAAATCAGGAAGATTTGTTTAAAAACCTAATCATATCCCTGTGACCGTTTTCGTTCTGAGCAGGGGTACTTCAGACTCACAACGGTACTCTTTAAACTTTCAAAATACTATGAGGATTTCCTATTTATTTTTGCTAACTGGCAATAGATTATTTCTAAGTTTCGAAGTGACAAGGTGACTGTATAGACACAAATGAAATTAAATGCATTTTACTATAAAAACCAAGATATCTGTGCCATTGCTGCTGGAATAAAAATTTGTAGGGTTCCGTTGTGAATCAGGGAACCTTAAAAGTATGTTAACCCGGAAATTAAGGGGAAACATCCCCCAGAAGGGGAGGGGGGAATATTTTCTACCCATCTATATCTAATATCTATTTTATCCTACCCGGTATTCTCTATATTCTCATGCAGGGTTGTTAGTTCGGTTAGTTTAGAGGGAAGATTCGGTTCAGAACTCCTGGGCACACAGTTCACCATAATTAGAAGAGGGGGGGGGGGGGGG